ATAGAGCCGCTGCTTTCACCGTTGCCTCCATGAAGTATAGTTTCTTCCTTAATTCCGTTACCTTTCCTCTTCTTAGCTCGCCCCAAGCCTTATTCACCAGTGCTTGTCCTTTTCCTGCCAGTTTCCTCGTGTGTCTTGTGTAGTAGTTCTTTGCCGAGAACCAGAAACCCAGGTATTTAAACTCGTTTACCACCTCTATTTCCCTGCCTTTGTAGTTCCATCTCTCTGCCTTTCTCTTTCCACCGTTCCTAAATACCATTATTTTTGTTTTTTCAACACTCACCTCCATGTTGTTTCTGTCCGCCCATCTCTCCAGTGTTTTCAGCATTTTTCCTAGTTCCGCTCCTTCTTCCGCTACTATTGCCGCGTCATCTGCGTACATCAGTGCATATACTTTTACTCATGCCCCCGGTCCTATTGGCGTACCTCCTTCCATTTTCCCTTCTAAGCTCTCTACCAGATCCTGTATGAATATATTAAACAGGATTGGGCTTAGAGGGCATCCTTGCCTGACTCCTTTCCCTGTCCTGAATTCTTCCGTTAGCCCTGTCCCCGCTATCACCCTGTTCCTAGTTTCCTCGTATATTTTTTTGGTCATTTTCAGGAATCTCCCCCCAATCCCCATTTTCTCCATTTTTCCCCATAATTTCTCTCTGTCTACTTTGTCAAATGCCGCCTTGAAGTCTATAAATGCGGCGTAGACTCCGTAGAGTTTCCCTCCCTTCTTTTTAAGCCTGCTTCCAATCAGTGTGTTTAGTACGAACACTTGTTCTATCGTCCCTCTGTTCCTCCGAAATCCTGCCTGCGCCTCTGATAGTTTCTTTTCCTCTTCCAGCCACTGCCCCAGTCTCCTAGCCATAATCATTGAGAGTATTTTATACCCAATGTCCAGTAGTGATACCCCCCTATAATTCGTTGCTTCGTTCGGGTCTCCTTTTTTGTGTATCGGGTATATTGTTGCCAATCTCCACCTGTCTATCATCTCCTCTTTCCTCCATATCTCCTTTATTGTTATTCCCAGCTCCTCTTTTCCGTCCTCTGGTAGATTTT